TAAACTAATTTTCAAGTAAAGTAGGCTAGACTAGACTAGGCAAGGTTTAAATTCTAAACCAAAGGCCTATGAAAGGATGGGAGAAACATCTAAAGTACAAACAAACACAGGGCAAGGGGACAGGTAAACACAACAGTTGTACCACTCTGTGCATTTCAAGACTTTAGGAAATGTATCCATGTCTGCATCACAGCACTGACCCCGGCTCACCGCTGGCAACTGCGATGCACTGAGGCTACAATGATGCTATTCTCATCCTTCTCCCTTTCCTTTTACTCCCACAAACGTTACTTAGTTCCTGAACTAAATAAAAAATGGTTTTATTTCTTCTTCCAAAGCTCTGGGCTCAAATTTGGAAGAACCAAACCTCTCCGTTTTGTTTCATCCTCACACATGGAAAAACTCCTTCAACTTGTGCACTCCAGCTTGGCTGAAAGCCATAGCATGAAACTTTAATTCAGGTGATTTTCACAGCCAGGCAGGAGGGCAGAGCTGAAATTGTAGTACTTTCTTATCAACTTCATTTTGCTGTGGTGAGTCAGGTAAGGAATAACAGGCAGGAGCAGAGGCACTGAGCTGTGCAGTGTGTACAGCACCTACCAACTATGAGCTGCACATCACAGCCATAAAACCTACAAACAAAAATTCTTCTAAGGAAGGTCAGTCCACACTTTGCCCATGGAAACTTCACAGATTTTTAAAAATAAAGTAGTTAAGTTCTGTACCAAGTCCACATCACCCACAGAACCACAACTCCTTTGGTTGTGCTAATAAGCACCAGCATTGACTCCTGCGCTTCCAATCTAAAAACCCAACCTAATTTTAAAGATAAATTTTCCAACTGACAAAGAGAATACTTTCCTTCAAAGAGAGAGAAAAAATTTCAAAGCTACCTAAAGCAGCAGCTTTTGTGAAAATACAGACAAATTAGCAGCAGCCTATGGCAAAGTACTGTCAGAAGTCTTCATCTTAGCATATTATCTGGTCCACAATAGACACATAAAATTGAGATACAGCTACATTACCTAGCAAAAGTACTACACATTTACTATCTATACTACTTTTTTTGAGTATACAGCTTATAATTGGACAGCATTGCAACCGCAGGTCACCTTTAACACTTGATAAACGGCACAGAGAAAGGCAAATCAATTTTCAGGCAGTAATTTGCACTGCAAACAACCTAATTTGACTTGAAATGGGTAAGAAAATACAGTCTGAACAGGACAATGTTTGAAAGCACAGGATTCCTCAAGTCTCATGAATTTCCTAATTATGACATGATGTCAATAATGGAGTTACCTATTACATTCTCCATGGCTCTTCCTAATGATTTTTGAACTGTTATTTTGAGTGGCAAACATTTTTCCAATTTCTAAATTTGGAAACTCAACCAGACATGCAAAAAATTGTTTCCCTGCCATCTCTAAAATTCTAAAGTCAAGATGTGATTTGCTTTCCCCTTATCTTTTCAACCTATTGACTAAATAAGAAAAAAAAAAGTTAAGTTTCTCAGAAGCAGAAAACACAGACTGCTTCCAAGTGCAGATGACCCTAGCCTTACCTATCTTCTTCAATTAGAGGAGTCACTTCTTAAGAAAGAAAACGGAGACTATAAGTCTTCAAAAACCAGCAGGTTTCAGCAGAGGTGCACAGGCTGTCTCCCTCATTTCCAGCTGCTTTTACAGGGCTCTCCTGGAACAAAGGGCTCAGACACACACAGATGCAACCAGAAGAGAGGAGTCGGCACCATGTGGTTTGCCAGCTCTCCATGGATCACAGCCTGCAGTGCAGCCAGCAGTCAGAAACCCTCCTTTATTTTCAAAGCCTCTACTGCTCCAGAAGTGCATGGTTAAAGTAGCAGCTGGTTTGCCTGTGTTTCCTTAGTCACCAATAACCACGAGGTATAAGTTTATTTAATTTATTAATGGTTCTAATAACATACAACATAAAGCAATGGCAGAAAGCCCTCTAATAAGTGGCTCTCTGTAGCTGCTTAACATTAATTGGTAACTACTTAGGGGTTATTGTCATGCATGACTTTACAAGCATATGCAAATGTATATTTACATCAGTTTCATCAATAGAAACCTCAGTTGACAACAATGAACCACTAGGAGGAACAGAATAGAGCCCCAAAAATAAAATTCTTTGCTCGTGGTCCTTTGAGGTATTCATGTTCTTCTCATTCTAGACAAACTTGCTAGGCCTCAGACACCAATCACAGCAGCAACACAAATCTGGATTTACTCCTGAGGACTCAGGCAGAACTAGAAGACACCAAAGAAGCAACCCTGACAAACACATTTCTGCTTTCTTTTTTTTTCTCCTCAGGAAAATGAATTAAGCAAATATTTTTACTGAAAGAGCCCATGTATGTGTGCTTGTGTCCAGGGACACTGGCTAATTTGGGAAAGGGGAGAGCTGTATCCCCTATGTGATACAGGCCTGTTTACTTTTCTGTCCTGGACAAAGCTGTAGCAATGACTGGTGTGAGGCTGCTTTCTTATGAATAAACCCCTACTAGCAGAGATTCTCAACCACAATTGGCTTAAGGAAAGCAACATCAGACCACTTTTTAAGCAGAAAGATGGGACCAGGTCACATCGTACTATACTGTGTAAATCACCTCACATCCAAAGGTCACTTAAGAATCTCTTGGCTCAAACCCTATCTGAATTTCAGCCTTGCAATAGAATTTCACATTTTCTTTCTTCAGTCATTAAATGACATTCAGCTTTTAGATCATTAACCCTCCTGCTGTTCGTAATCCCAACTGCATTTCTCAAACACAGGACAAAGCTCTACTCAAGAGCTGGAGGAGGCAAGGCCCTCTCCTGCCAGGTCCAGGCAGGATTCCTGTGATGCACTAGAGCTTGAGCCAGGGAGGTTCAGCAGGAAGGTGCTCTTGTGCTCCGTGACCTCAGGAACAATAGCTCTGCAATATCGCTGCATGTGGGCCATGGAGCCACTTGCTTGACCTCTTTTGTAAAGTTAAGAACAGTTTTTACTTTAAGTCTGTTTCAAGACAAAGGTATTAATTTACTTTTTGAAAAACAAAACTATTCATTTACTCTTTTTTTTTGTGCTACCAAGTGATTAGTTGGTGATTTGACATGACAACATACAGAACCTGTACTTCCTCCTACCTGTAGCGTAAATCTCTTTCATTTCCCCATTCTCAGTTATTTCAGGTTACAACTTAAACTAATTCTTCATGTTTTTAACTGAAAACTTTAGAGATACATCTGTTCAACAGTGCTAACCCGGTATTTGAATAGTATCATCAAAACGTGGCAAACTGATTTTCAATCGCCCTCACTAAAGAAGGAGAAGCTCAGTGGAGAGAAGGCAAAGCCAAGCTCCCGTGCACAACAAAACCGATCCACGTAACACACACCGCAAGGAAATGCCCATTTTGAATGACAACAGCTCCCAGTTTTCTGAAAGGAATCAGCTACGCTGCAGTTATGGGAACTGCCTGCAATTCCCTGCAACCACCACACCGTAGACCGAAGGGAGAGAGCGAAGCACGGCACAAGGAACTGGAGCACGCCCGTGGCGAACGGGGGGGAAGCGGCAGCGGGGGGCGGCGGAGCGGGGCTCGGCCGGGACCCGGCGCGGCTCCCGCTGCCACGTCACACACACAGCCCGCGGCTCCCGCCGGGAATCTCCTTCCGAGCGCTTCCTACTGCGGGCCGACAGCGAACCCGCCAGCCACCGGCCCTAACAGCGGCACCAAGCACTGCTCCATTCCTGCACAAAAGCCAAGCAGAGGGGGAGCGTGAGGCCGCCGCGGAGGGAAGGGGAGAGCGGGGAAACTTCAGAGGTTGCGAACCGCGAGTCAGCGGCGGCCGGCGCTGCACCAAACCGCGGACACCGGCGGCCCGGGGGCCGGGCGCGGCCAGGGCAAGCGAGGGAAGGGATGGAGGGACGGAGGGATGAAGGGAGGGCGGCTGCTCGCCCCACGGGGGACGAGCTGTTGTCCCCCTGCCCGCCCTCCAAACCGGCCTCCTCATTCATTCGCCTGCCGCCGGGCAGTTACGTAAGGAAGGAGCGACCCTCCTGGACACAGCCGCAGCTCCGGTGCACAGGGATTAAAGTACAAATAATGGCAACCACAACACCTTTCAGGGAAATGCAGCTGCCGCCGGCGCACCCCCACCCCGGAGCGGGGATGCGCCTCCTCCTTCCCCCTCTCCCGGCCGCTCACCCGCTCCGCCAGCGCTGCATTTGGAGGGGGCCGAGGCGCGGGGAGGTCAGAAGGAGGGCAGAGCCCCCTCCCCTGCGCGAACGGGAGCGACCGTCCCTTTTCACCTGCCCGGGCCGAGTTCTGCCCGCCCGCCCCGGGGCCCTCGGGGGCGCCCCGGCGGGGTCAATGCCCTCCCCGCCTTTGCCCGCTTCACCGGGGCCGCCTCCCGGGCCAGTGAGACAGGCGGGACCCCCCCGCCGCCCCGGCTCGCTGGGCTCTCCCGGGGCGCGGCCCTTCGGGGGCGATCGCAGCACCCCGCGGCGAGTTCGGGGCTACGCCGCCCGGCCCCGGCGAGGCTCCCGCGGGGCTCTGCGGCCCGGAGCCACCCAGCCGGTCCCGCCCCGCGGCCTCCGCACGCACCCGCGCAGGAGCGGCTCTTCCAGATCTTGAGCAGCAGGATGATGATGGCCGCCAGGTGGGACAGGTCCCCGGTGAGGCGGAAGATGTTCATGGCGGCGGCAGAGGCGGCGGCGCAGCCGGAGCCGGGGAGCGAAGATGGCGCAAGCTCAGCGGGCACCGAGCGACGTGGCCCGGGGACGTGGCCAGGCAGCCCCGCGCCGGTGCACGCCGGGAAGCGGGGGGAGCGCCCGCCCCGCCCCGCGCCGCCCTCACGGCGGGGCGGCCCCGGCAGCCGCGGGCCCGGGCGCGCAGGGGAGCGGCCGCGGGATAGAGCCCTTGGGGCGGCCCAGGAGCTGATCTGTATATACATACAATCGCGAATGTAATATTATTACATATATACATATACTAGTATATGTATATTTTATTATGTTTTGGAGGCCAACAGTGTGAAAATCTACATCAGCTACTAGAGACAGTCCAGCAGAGGCCATAAAGGTGATGAGTGTCTCTCTTAGGAGAGACTCTGAGGGCTGGGCCTTGTTAGTCTGGAGAAGACCAAGGGGGGATCTCCTCGATACATATAAATACCTCAAAGGTGGGTGCCAAGAGGGTCACAGAATCTGGAATCACAGAACGGTTTGGGTGAGAAGGGTATTTAGGGATCATCTCGTTCTGCCCCCTGCCATGGGCAGGGATGCCACTCACTGGAGCAAGGTACTCAGGACCCCATCCCGCCCGCCTGGAACACTTCGGGGATGGAGCAGCCACAGCTTCTCTGGGCAGCCTGTTCCAGGATGGTGCCAGACTCTTTTCTGTGGTGCCCAGTGACAGGACAAGGAACAATGACCATTAACTGGAACACAGGAAGTTTCACCTCAATACAAGGAAGAATTTTTTTACATTGAGGGCTGCAGAACACTGGGACAGCACTGGGCAGTCAGGGATTCTCCCTCCCTGGAGACATTCCAAACCCACCTGGACACGTTCCTGTGTCACTGCTCCAGGTGACCCTGCCTTGGCAGCAGGGTTGGACTGGGTGATCTCCAGATGTCCCTTCCAAGACTAACAGTTCTGTGATTCTGTGTAAACTTCCAAGAAAAAGAAAAAAAAAAAAAAAAAACAGAACAATTATTTCTCCAATAATCATGCCTTGAGAGGCAGCACAGTGCCTCTTCAGAGTCCTTAATCCCTAAAACAGGACATGACCAGCAAAGTTCAGTGGGCAGTTCAAAAGAGGCATTTATCCTCTTAATAACTCTCCAATGTTCTCTGTAAAAAAAACCCATCAATCCATCAATCCAAACAAGAGCAAAGAAAAATAGGAGTAGCTGCCCAGGAACAGGATTTCCAATGGTTGTAGAAAACGGGTAACAGCTTATTCCAGGTGAACAGTGGTGCTTTCCTGGGTAGCTCATTTCTTTAAAATCTCTTGGTTTACATTGTTTCACAACCCGTTTGAGGAAATAGTGTAAGGACTTTATTGTTACAGAATTATACACTGAAAAGTTCCCACAGCAGAAGGTTATGGACTATTTGAAATTTAAGAAAAGGATCCTAACTACAATCTTATAATTTTTTAAAATGTGGCACAAAGATTGAACTCTTTAGAGAGTTTACATAATCCTGAGAAGGGAGAACTGATTAATACCTGCTATGGAGGTTATCTTTTTTAGTAAGTACCCACTGTGTGACAAAACCAAATTTACTTATTTTTCAGATATTAGGAATCAAAGCCTGTCCTCTTACAACACTGTGTTTACAAGTGCAGCAGTACAACTCCTTGACAAGCTCCCTAGTATCTCTTACTACTTCCTAAGAGAAGAGGTTGTATGTTGTATTTGAAAAGTTTTATAGATCTGAACTCTAACAGAATAATTATTTTAAACAGATACTGAATAATTTTGGCATCGAATAATGCTTGATGTAACCACCAGTGAGTTGCCTACTTGAGGATTCATGTTAAAAACCCAGTTTGAAGAGAGAATTTGTACTGAAGACGACAGCGTTTGGCAGAACTCCCCAAATCTGTGGTACCAACTGCAACAGGAGGGGAGAAAGTGCAAATTCACAACTACAACATCAGCAGCTGCAGAGCTGAGGCACTTCCATCACTGCACACACGTGTGAGCTCTGAAAACACAGACATGTCTTACAGCACTGGCTGGACCAGCCTGTTTGACACAGGCTTGAGTGAAATGTGAACATTTAATATGTCAGATCTCAACAATTCTTAAAGGCTGAATACTGAAATAAAAGTAGCTAATAAAGACACTGCCAGATGCATATCTGGAATCTATTTAATAGATACATTAAAGGCAGGGAGCTGACATCCATTCTCTCAATCCCTGCTCAGTTCATGCAGTTCATATTCAGAACTTGTTTGTGATCTAAGTTGTTTTCTGACATCTGATTAAATGTTGAAACATGTCAGGCCCCAATTAAACATGACCTAGGGCAGTTTCAGCTTGTGCATCAAACCAGTGTGATTTTAACTATAGCAATGGCTATTCTTTGATAAATCAATACAGTTCACTTCCATATACAATGGTTAAAAATTATCAAGGAAAGCAGTACCAGAAAGTATCTGTTGTATCTGTGACAGATTAGCATTTTCCTCTGTTTCCATATTTCTCCTACAGGAATCTACTTTTGTTTTCCCTCCTTCTCTCTTTGTCCCTCAAAGAAAAGTTTACAGCTATTAAGTGAGATGTTAAATATTTGTAAGGCTAATTATACCAGCTAAAACATTAGAAAATAAGAGTTATACTGTTGCCAGCAAAGCAAGAAATCCATCAGTCACAATTCCTGCAGTTAATACTTCAATGTTCAGTCACTTGGACTCTGAGCTCTGAACATGCCTGGGTTCCTGCATCATCAGGGCAAGAAAATCCTCTCATTAATCTGGATTGGAGAAGCAGACTGATGCTGAACAGAAAGGGGCAGATGGACATTGCTTGCTTTCTACTCATTGCAGAAAAAATGTAATACATTTTGTGGCTATTTTTGGGTACAAATAAAGAACCAGATGTGAACTTTGATAAAAATAGCCTTTGGTGCAAAACTCCTACATGTCCTGGTGCCAGGCAAGGTCTGCTGGGGTCTTTGAGGCTGTCTCATAATTTCTGTCTAAGGACTAGGTAGAAAGATATGGAAAGATGGTTTGATAATGGATCACAATCTGAACTAAAATATGAAATTATGGATACCTGGACAGCACACATGTCTGTTTTGCTTTTTGACTTTTTGTTATTTATCTGCACTTTCCAACAGTATGCTGTACAACAATGCAGAAAATACTCTTACAATTCCAAATGTTCTGGGGTACAAATAAAAGAAATTTAACTTACAGTAGAGTTTTTGTTTATTCTTTGCAGACCTGTCTTTTCTATCCAGTTTCTCTCCTGCCTTACTGGAAAAGGAAGTCAGATCCCTCCCTTGCAACAGCACTGGAGTAAACAGTCCCTAAGGCTGTCCCACATCATATGGCACAGATGAGAATATTTTACTAATCAGGACTATAAGGTTCTTAGCTCTCATCATCCCATGCTTACAGATCCTGTTAAAAAAAAAAAAAAAAACAAACAAAAAACAACTCAAAACACACCAAAAAAACCCCCACAAACTTATCAAAAACATGTAAACATTTCCACTGAAATAAAGAGACACCACTGCTTAAATTTGTGTACCAGCCTGGAATATCAACCTCTTTAGAAAAAAGAAAAAAAAAAAAAGCAGAGATTATTTGAAATTTGATATTTACTTCTAAGGAGAAGAGAGTATGACAGGGGAACAAGGTGCTGCAGTTTGCTGGCTGCTCCTCAGCTGCCATGAGGAAACTGGCAGTGTCCCCCTGGGCAGCAGCGTGCGGTGTCTGTAACCCAACACAGCAGGAGCCAGAACACAACGGTGCACTGTGGCCAGGTACCTGCTCCAGGGACATTCCAGGTGACTGCTGAGTCCTTGCTTCTTCCTGACTGTCACTGGAGTGAGTCAGCCCAATGTCCCCTTAGCCCCAGCTGGGTTTGGCTGGCACACCCTGAGTAATGTCTCACATCTGCTCCAAGGGGGGGCAGCCAGTGGGACCCTGACACGGTCCCAGCCTAATCTGATGGGGCTGCAATTTGTGTTACTGGAAAGCAAATGAGGGGGTGATGATCCCCAGGCACAGCACTGAAGTGAGAAACTAAATCTGCCATAATGCAGTATGTAACTGCCTCTGGAATATTTGAGCAGATTATACAGAGGCATAAAGGGCTTCTTAAAATTAAGGTAGGATGCCTTTTTTTTTTAACAGTATTTTTAGAGCCTCAGACTGAGGAGTTGGTTAGCTCTGATGTGACAGATTGAGATCACTGGGAGTCAAACATTCCATGCACTGTACAAAAGCTGACAACAGCCAGAATGCCAGCTTTAACAGGGACACTTCTCAGACACTGTGGATGGGCAGTTGTTTTCTTCCTTTCGGGGATTTACAGATACCACAGATGTGCCACTTACCTCAGTACCAGGTCACAGGGATATCTTCTCTCCTGCTGATCCAGAATCAGTAGCCCTTTCTCTTTTCTAAATACAATTCTGAACATAAAGGTATTAGGCACTGAAATAATAAACCAACAATAGTATTTCTTCCCATTTGTTAGCTCCTGAAGGATCCTACATTCAATCATAGGAATGAAATGAAATGAAATGCCTCCTCTCCCATTCTGCTGGACAGGGTCACCTGTCACAGGGCTCAAAGCACTCAGAGGAGCCAGGCCCACAGCAGGGTTGTGACTGTCAGCAGTTGGATGTGCATCCCACAGGATGTATGGCACTGCCCAGCAGCCATCAGAAGGGTCACCAGTGGAGAGGAGAGCTGCAGTTCTCACAATAAGCAGATACAATTATTATCATGGTCTATATTCAACAGCAGATTTACGCAGAAATCCAATTTTTTTTTCTTTCTCAAAGATCTAAAAGAACTAAAAAGAATGTAGGAGAAATTAAGCTTGGTTTAAACAAATGTTACCCACATCTATAAAGAGCAACATTTCTTTAAGAATCAAATCTTTATACCACATTTCTCTGTGGTATATTCTTCCCCAAAATCCTGATCATGCAAAAAGAGAGGGACTGTGAGGCATTTTTCCCACGAATGCATTCCAGTGAAAGTGATCACGTGCCTGTTGTATGCAATCCACATCTGCAGAAGGGACGATGCCTGCCCTGAGGGGTGCTGGGGTTTGTTCCATGGAAGCAAAGTGTCCATGTTTCAGTTTCCTCTGGCAGTGTGCAGGATTGTGAATGGATGGCAGGTCACACACACAGATTACATCCCGTGCATACTTGTGCTCTCTATGCCTTTCTCCCCTTTCCATCTATTCTTCCCACAGAAATTCAGTTTCAACAGTTTGGATGGAAGTGTCTAACGAATCCCAGATTTTGTAGAATGGGCTTTTCCATCAGTGACCTCTACAAGAGGGACATTGGCAGGAGTAAAATTGCTTTTCTACACTACTTGCCATCCAAAATGCTCACACCATCTCATGAACTAAACAGCATTTGCAGTCTCACAGTGAAATCAGTAGAACATTAAGTCAGTGCTCCACATTTACCCCTCCTACACTACTCTTCTAAGAAATAGATAAGCCCTTGACCAAACATAATTGCAATGCCAAAGTTCTTAATGTAATTATTAATTTAATAAAATATATAAATAATCAAGCAGTTCAGCTATTTAAAAGCATGAAAGAAATTACAGCACAGATGGCACAAAACAAAGAACTCACTCCTGCTCTAATTAAAATCTAAACTCTGACTTACATAATTGCAAACAGAATCACTCCCAGGTATATTGACAGAAGAAGATTACTTTCAACTCTCATAGATTTTTGAAGGACTTGGTAGAGCTAAGTCACATATGTGACCTAAGCAGCTGAACTGGAAATGCTGACTGTCTTCTTGACATGAGAACACTCTCCTGCATCTTCAGAAGTGCACACACAATTCAAGTCAGGCAATTTCTAGAAATCAAAAAACCTTTTAGTACTTTCACAACTGAGTGAGGCAGAACTTTCTAATGTGAAAACACAGATAAATCTTT